TTGAAGGTATTATCTTCAGATAGGCAAAAATTTTAGTGTACTTCTCTGGGGATACATCTATGTTTGGAAATAATTTGACTCATATATCAGGCTTAATTAGCAAACCGACTGTAAATCTCCATCGTATAAATCTAGCTGTGAAAAAATTCAAGTTCGTAAGAAGTAAATATTTAAATAAAATTTAATTAAAAATAGATTTACAAAGCTTTAGTGTATTTAAAAAAATAGTAATCTTAAAATTCCATGTTTTCCAAATAGGGAAGCAGGCAGGCATTTTTTACCCCAATGATCAAGACTCTCATCATGGATACCTAGGTCAGCAGAACAATTTAACTTTTTAACCTCACCTTTTTGTTTGGCATTTTTGCTACTTGGAAGAATCAGCTCTAAAAATAATCGGCTTTGACCATTGAATATTTTATAGTCTTTTGTCTATTGCTGATATTGGAGAGATTACCTAATAGTATGGTATTCATAAATATTTATTTTTGGAGTAGAGATCTGAGAAAAAAAATATGGTTACCATTTTGCAATAGCTTCTTTCTTGCAGCTATTGAATATACTCAGAAAGGTCAGTTTATACTTTTTAATTTTAATGCCTGTTTAGGAGTGAAAAAAGATATATTATTTTAGAAAGTTATAGAAGAGAAGAAGAGAAACTGGAAAAAAAACCTATTAAATCAAATACAGTATATGCTTTCCTACCCTAGTACTATGCAGCTCTTCAAGATTTTCAGCCTTGGGAAGAACCCTTCCCTTGTTTATTTCCCTCTACTCACTTTAAGTACAGATGATGCTTGTGTTTGATTTTGAAGCTATCAACTGACAGCTAACTGTAGTGGTTCTTTGTGTTAGCACTTCTGCAAAATCGTGAAATGTCCTTAATCAACCTGACAAAAGTCCATTTCTGAAAATAAAAGAAATAGATAAGCAAAACAAAATCATATATCTAAGTACTGGAGAAAATAAATACATGAAACATTTGATCACATATACTTTAGAAATACTGTCTGAGTTTGGAAATAAGTATTTCATAGATCAAACAATGATTTACCCATGTACCTTTACTCAAATAGTGAAAATAACATTTTACATGTAAAAATGTGACAAGTATAGCATTATTCCCTGGTAGTTTTTAAAATTGAAACATAATTGATTATACATATATTTGAGGTAGACTTGAATATCAATACCTGTGTAAAATGTGTGATGATCAAATCAGGATAATTAGCAATTTCATCACTACAAAACATAATCGATCTTTGTGTCCATTAATCAATTCCTCCCTAACCTTCCTCCTCACCCTCTCCTAACTTTAGTAACCAGAGTTCTGGTCTTTCCTCTGAAAGTTCAATGTATTACTGTGATTGTTGTTTATTTGCTTGTTTCTTATTTATTTACTTATTTATTATTTCGGTTCCACTTATGAGTGAGAACCATGAGGTTCTTCTCTTTCTATGCCTGGCTTATTTCACTTAACATAATTTTCTCCAAGCTCCTCTGTGCTCTTGCAAATGGCAGAATTTCATTCTATCTTGTGGCTGAGTAGTATTCCATTCTGTATATATACCCAGTGAGCCATCGAGGGATGTTTAGGTGGATTCCATGTCTTGGCTATTGTAAAGAGAGCTATTATAAACATGGGAGTGCAGGTATCCCCTTGGCATGATGATTTCCATTCCTTTAGATATATACCCAGTAGTGGAATTGCTGGGTCATCTGGCAGTTCTGTCTTTAGTTGTCAAAGAAGCCTCCACACTTTTTTCCAGAATGGCTGTACTAATTTACAGTCCCACCAGTAGTGTTGAAGGGTTCCCCTTTCTCTGCATCCTCACCAACATTTGGTATTCTCTGTCTTTTTGATAACGGCCAGTCTAACTGGGGTGAGATGGTAACTCAGTGTGGTTTTGATTTGAATTTGCCCAATTATTAGTGAATAGCATTTTTTCATGTGTGGAATTATTGGGCTGTATGGTAAATCTGTGTTTAACATTTTAAGAAACTGCTGAACTGTTGTTCAAAATGGCTACACCATTTTACATTTTCACCACCAATGTATGAAGATTCCAGTTTCTCCACATCTTTATCAATGGTTGTTATTTTCTGTCTTTTTTTCTTTTTTTTGAAATTTATTTATTTATTTATTTTGTAACTGGTAAGGGGAACGCAACCCTTGGCTTGGTGTCGCGGGCACCGCACTCAGCCAGTGAGCGCACCGGCCATCCCTATATAGGATCTGAACCCGCGGCGGGACTGCTGCTGTGCTCCCAGTGCCGCACTCTCCCGAGTGAGCCATGGGGCCAGCCCTGTGTGTCTTCTTTTGAGAAATATCTATTCAGCTCCTTTACCCATTTTTTAATCAAGTTATTTGTTTAAGTTGTTTGAGTTTCTTGTATATTCTGGATATTAATCCCTTGTCAGAAACATAGTTTGCAAATATTTTCTACCATTCTGTAGGTTGTCTTTTTACTCTGTTGGTGGTTTCCTTTTCTGTGCAGAAGCTTTTTAGTTTCATATAATCCCATTAAAAAATTTTTTTTTCCCTTGGTTGCCTGTGCTTTCTAGATCTTATTCATAAATTCTTTGCCCAGTCCTACATCCTGAAGTGTTTCCCCTATGTTCTCTTCTAGGAGTTTTATAATGTTAGTTCTTATTTTTAAGTCTTTAATCCATTTTGAGTTAATTTTGGTATATGGAGAGAGGTACGGTTCTAGTTACATTCTTCTACATATGGATGTCCAGTTTTTCCAGCACAATTTATTGAAGAGGCAGTCCTTTCCTCAAAGTATGTTCTTGTTGCCTTTGTCAAAGATCAGTTGCCTGTAAGTACATGTATTAATTTGGGGGTTCTGTATTCTGTTCCATTTTTCCACGTGTTTGTTTTTATGCCAGTATCATGGTGTTTTGCTTACTATAACTTTGTAGTATAATTTGAAGTCAGGCTTCATTTATTTATTTATTTATTTTAAAATTTTTGTTCTGGATTGCTTTGGCTATTTGGATTCTTTTGTTGTTCCATATGAATGTTAGGGTTTTTATTTTTCTATTTCTGTGAAGAATGCCATTGGTATTTTGATGGGGATTGATTTGAATCAGTACATCACTTAGGGTAGTATAGCCCTAGTAGATTTTAATGTATGTAATTATACATACTCCTATACTGAATGATAGAAAAAAAAAAGAATTGGCTAAATTCAGGAAACCAACATATGAAACACTGGCCACCAAATATTATTTTAACTATTATTTTAAAAATTCCTGGCTGAAACATTTAAAATGTTCCCAGTCCCAGCTTATATAACTCAGAAAACACAGACTCAACATGACTGTCAAGGACAACTCTGAATGTTAATATTTCCATTTTGGGCCTCATAGCAGAAAGAATTTTATTAGCCAGTGTAAGCTCTGGAATTTCAAATGCATGATAGGCAGTATAGACTCCACATGCAAAATATATGCATAGTCATTTTATCCTAAATTGCTTCACTTGAAAATGTAGTGTGAAAATCTAGAGAGATGAAGTAAAAATAAGTAATTTGACAGTGTTCTAATATGTTGAGGCTTGAAAAATAAAAGTCATAAGATAAAAATGTTCATGCACTTGAGATTGTGACTCAGTCACCCTAATAATTTTCTCTATGTCTGCCATAGGGTTTGAATAAGTAAGAGCTAGACTGGTAGGTGCCAAGTAATGGTTTTTTTTGCAAGTAAGACCAGCAGTTTTGTCAGAAAGCAACAGGCCATGTACCGAACCTGCTTTTACATTCTTGTGTTATATAACAAAACATTCTAAGATGCAAACTAGTTGGCTGGAAGTTTCAAATGACTGTTCAGGCAAATCCCAGTAATAATTGGTATACCAGGGTGAGGTACTGGGGGATCTGGCGCTCCCAGGCAGGATGTCTTGGTTCTAGAGCAGCCTCCTCTATTCGCTGCTCCTCTGTTTACCCTCTGTTTTTCCGTCTGTTTAGCCCTGCTTATTGTTACAAAAAATTTTACATTTTACTAAAAAGAATGTAAGTACTATTTTGTGAAAACCTCATTTAATTTGGGAAAAATGTGACTGTTTCAGAATGACATTTTTAAGTTAGAAAGCTGATATTTAAGTTATTCAGGTTTCATCCCAGGATTAAGTCTTGAAAAAGTGATTATTTTCTGCCAAGGTTAGTGTAATTGTGATTATGCTAAAAAACAAACAAACAAACAAAAACCAAATTTATCCTACTATTTCGTGATCTTTGTGCAATCAAAAAGGACCAAACTCATCCCAAATGGCGCCATTCATTCAACAAATATTTATATATCTTTATCTGCTTGAAATATGTAGTGAGAACGACAGAGAACATTTATTTCTGTTCTAGTAGATATTATTATCCAGTAAGTAGAGACAAACAACAAATGACTAAACTAATAAATAAAAAAAATGAATAGTAACAGTGTTCACTATATATAAAAGGCTGCTTTTGGCCAGACCTTATCACCCAAGTGTGGAAACAGGTTTAGGCCAAACTTAACTCATTTTAACAGGAAGCTAAGGGATTAACTGTTATAAACACAAAATATTTTTTCAGTGAAGAGGAACACATAATCGGATAGTAGCGGGAGGGGTTTTTGGGTCCAGAGAATTTGTTTTATTTGTATAGTAATGAACAGATTCAGTAGAAAAGGAAAGATTGAAAATGCCAGAGATGCAGGTAATTTTAGGAGAAAAGTTTTTAAAAAGGTAACAGTGTTGAGATAAAGAGCCAAACATCTTACTGTACCTTTCTGAACATATAGACTGGACTCTCTATATACTTTCCAGTTCAATTGACAATAGAAACATGCAAATTCTGCTGAACAAATAGCAGAAAATTTGCTTGGAATAGTTTTAGTTTAATAAAAAATGGCATTACCCAAGATATGCCAGATATAAATCACCTACATTTGGGAAGAAATGTTTTCAACATACAGATCAGACTATTGTTTTAATTTCCTGTGTTAAAAATTTTATCTTTCAGGTGCTTCAAGAAGATCTAGAACAAGAACAAGTCAGAGTCAATTCTCTAACACACATGGTTGTGGTTGTTGATGAATCTAGTGGAGATCGTGTAACTGCTGCTTTGGAAGAACAACTTAAGGTCAGACTTTTTTTTTTTTTAATAAACTAAATATGTCCTTCAAAACACTTAATTACAATTTGGAAAATATCTAGAAAATTTAGAATGTAATTTATATGTTTGAATATTTAGAAATCAATATATTTATTAAAACTAAGTTATTTCCTGATTGTGCATATCTCCTTTTCATTAACTGTACACTGAGCTCACACTAGTGTCCTGGCCTTTACGGAAATGAACAAATGCGGGTCCATGTTTTTATTAAAATTGGATCACATGTACTAGAGAACTAGTCTGAGAAATACTATTTATACCCTTTTCACACCTACGGTCTAAGAGAGGACAAAGATAAAAAACACAATGAGAATCATATTTGATTAAATAATGAGACATTGTATGTCTTCAGTATATTTATTCCTGGAAGCATTCAGCTATAGTCTTTATGAGAGAACATGGCAGGTGTTTAAGTCATGGATGTTTGGTTGAAGCAGGAATTTAGCTTTTCAAGCCCTCTTCCAACCTGAGTTGTAATAATTGTGCTTTTGGAAACATGAATAGTACATATTAACGAAGGATGATGTATACATTTTAATATTTTTGTTTTTTCTTCCAAAATGGGAACAATAACATTTTATGAAAAAATTTCAGCAAGGTATACTCATATATACATATACCAAAACATCAACAGTAAGGGAAAATGCAGTAATTTATTGTTCTGAGTGATTACACATATAATCATATTCGAGAGCACTTTTAAACATTTGTGAAAAATGGGATTAAAAGATAATATGAATCTTTCTATAAACTTTTTGAAGTACCCATATATATATATACACATCATCCCTTGGTATCTCTGGGAGATTGATTGCAGGTCTTTCCACAGATACCAAATTCCGTGGGTGCTGAAGTGCCTGATATAAAATGGTGTCGAACTTGTATTTTCATATAACCTACACACGTCCTCTGTTATGCTTTTAATCATCTCTAGATTACTTATAACAGTGAATAGAATGTAAATGCTATGTAAACAGTTAATATACTATATTTCTTAGAAAATAATGTCAAGAAAAGCAAGTATGTACATGTTTAGTATAGATGCAATTTCTTTTCAAATATTTTTAATTTGTGGTTGGTTGAATTCACAGATGTGGAACACACAAATATGGAGGGCTGACTATATATATATAATTATAGATTATATTTGAGATGTTCATTGTGCCCACCAAATAATTCCCTTTCCTTTGTGACAATCAGGCACAAAATATATGATATGTCTGTGGATCAAATCAATGTGGGCTTAAATGGCTTTATCAGCTCAAAGTAGTTCTAAACATAGTTTCTTTTACCTAATCTATAGCACAGATTCTTAAAGCCTTATCTCTGTTTTCTTCTTTTTTTGTGTGAAATGTGTTTTTTTTTTTTAATTCCAGTAAGATGTCATTTCCTCAGGTTACTGCTTTAAACTGCCAGTCTCCAATGATGTTATCTCACTCTCCATCATTATATGGCAAAGGGAAGGGAAAACTTTGGAGCAGGTTGGACACTGCTACAACAAAATATTTAATATATACTGGCAAACTGTATTAATTGCTTATATTTTATTAAAATTGCAAGGATGTATAAAAGCTTATAACACTAGATATTATAATATATTGTTAAATATGTGATAATTTATATTGTACATGCACATAAACACACACACTCGCAAACAGCTAAAATATTGCATTTTAAGTAATTCCATAGTTATAATATAATAGTAACTAATTACAGATGATTAAAAATCTAATACTCAATATTTCTCAGAAATTTTCAGGAAAAAAAAAAAAGAAGGCTGAGGAGCTGGGATTGTTGGTGGGTGGGTGACTGGTTAAAATAAAAACTTACAACTTAAGGCAGAAATTTAAGTCATAGAATACTTTCATTTAAAACAATACTGAAAAACACCTACTATGGCATTAAATGACCCAGTATAACATGTATAATATATACTTTACAATATAATTATTCAAGACCGATGCTTGTGAGACTAAGACACCTTGAAAAACAGTTCATAGAACTCACAGATGGTTATTGGGTTAGATCTTAAGTAGGATAAATTGGGAGTGGTGGGTCTAAGCATTTCTATATTCATTTTCCTACTTGCTTTCATTTTTCACCTTATTATCTGCCTTTATTTTGTTGGCCAAGAGGCATCCGCTAAGATAGCTCTGAATGTATTGTTTATCCCTAATTCACATAAATTCAATCTGCATTTGTCCCTGATTGCCTCCTCCTTTAATGAGTATTGGCCCCAGCCTCCCAACCTCTTCTTTTTTCTTCAACCCCATTTCCCTTTTCAGTACTCTCATTTTGCCTCTATATGGCCCTTTACTGTCACCCAACTTTTCGATAATGTAGATTAGTGTCGAGAAGGGCAGAGTTAGAAAGAATTAAGTGGAGAGAAAGCCCCTGCTATAACTTTGTTCTTCCTATTCCATGAGATTTCTCAGTCCCAAATGAATCCATCCATGAATACCATACCTTATGTAACCATTGACTGAAATTACCTAAAATGCTCTGCTTTCTATTTACTTTGAAATATAGATGATTGGTAGGTTCTTTGCAAATGATATAATCTTGTCCTACCTAGTTTAATTTTTAAAAGGAAGGGAAAGAGGAAGATAAGATAGTAGGGAAGAAGGAGGAGAAGAAAAATAATAAAAGATAAATACATTAGAGGTGTCCCTATAATAGCATCACAAATACCGTGGACAAATGATAAGAATTGTATGTTTGCTTCAAAGTCTGTGGACTATAACATGTTTTATACTGGGCCCAGAGGAATTCTGTAGAAGTAATTGGAAGAGTTAGAGGAAAGGGAAACAGATATATGGACTTCCTAGAAGGAAAAAAAAAATGTCAGGAACCTGAAAAGGATCCTTGAGGACTTTGATTGGAGAAAGGTCTGGTCATCCATAGCTTATTCTCCAAGACCTTTTAGTGTTGAATACTTACCCCACACCTTCTTTTTATCCTCCATGGCCTCTCATATCACCACAATGCCTTAATCCATTTTGCTCCAATTCAATTCAAGTACCACCCAGAGGCTCAAAAAGGATACTCAGTGGTCTTCAGTAAAAAGGTGCAGGCAGGAAAAACTAGGAAGGGAAGTCCCCTATTTGGTGCAATAAGGGAGGGATGCATTCTTAACATCCAGAGTTATAGCTCTACAAATGCTTGGCATAGAATATCTTTACATGTGTTGATGTAGTTCTATGAACTATACTATTATGGTATTATGTTAGAATTTCTGTAGCTTTAAAAGATTTTTAGGAGTCTTCTTTTTAAAGGATTTGGAGAAAAAAAAAGATAGGTCAGAACATGTGCTTAGGAATTCTGAAAGATCGCATCCCTTATAAAGGATAATAATCTGAAAAGTGCAGTATTATTCTCAGAGGTTCAGCTTGTCCTTCAGCAATGTTAGCACAGGTCAGAGCTTTGTCCTTAACTTTAAAGGTTTCCAAGATATCAGTGCTTGGAGAGCCTGATTTGTAAGTAATGATGCCAGTTAAATAATTTTATTGAGAAATACCCTGGCTAACTAACTAATATTGGTACTTTATGTAGAGTCTTCAGTCCTGGAGGATATTACCATATCTATTTCTAAGCACTCCACGTCCCATTTTTAATTTTATTTTAAAAGTATTTGTATGGTCTTACTATGTCCTAGAGATTATGCTAGATAACAGGTAAAACAGTGGAAAAAGAGAATTTGCCACTGCCTTTTCCAGTTGGGATGAGTAATTTGTGAGCCTGCTACCTTTTTCAGAACCTTGGAAAAATGATAGCCATTTGCCAGGCTCAGTCTTTGGAACAGAGTGTTAACCCCCTGTCTGTGTTCACCATAGTAGGCATAGTAGGCATGGTGACTGCTCTGTTGGTACTTGCAATCTAGTAAACGAAATTCATTAATAAAACATTTAGAAAAATGAGAAATATTTAGGAATGGACACAACTTATTTCTGAAGGAAAGGAACAAAATTTTGTGACAGGAAATTAATCTGACATAAACTGGAGCTTGAAGCCATGGAATGATTCCTGAGAAAAGCAATGCTTACACTAAGATCTAAAGAATTATATTGGAGGAAAGTGGATAAAGTTGTGTTTAACGAGGATTGGTGAAAGTCGGTAGGTTTCCAGAAAAAGGAAACAGTAGATCAACTGAGCATGGTACCCTAAAAGAACTTAAAGAGGGCCAATTTGGCTACAACACTGAGGTTCAAAAGAGTGATGCTAGAGGTTTGGTAAGTAGGCAGCAGCTTTCGTGAGAATTAGAATTTCGTGAATAATTCATTCAGCGAACATTGAGCAGCAGCTCTTTGTCAGGATGGCAGCAAGGACCATAATGGTAGAGAGGCACAGGGGGGGACTGTAATGGAGTCTGCCCTCCTGAACTACACTAATCAAATACAATTAAGTGTAAAATTATGGCTGTGATGAGTTCAATGTGACAAAAATATGCATTGCTAGATGAACTATCATTTTCTAGAAGGTCAAGAAAGGCCTACATGACCTTAAGTGATATCTGAAGATTTAGTAGAAGTTAATAAAGCAACACTGGAGAGTAGAAAAGTATCCTGGATGGAACAGTACTTATTCATTCACTCAACAAATATATTTTGAGTGCCAACTAGGTGCCAGCCAAAAGTCTAGGCTTTAAGGTTAAGTTATGTACAAAACATAAATTGTTCCTCTGTGCAGCTTACATTTCAAGCAAGCATCATAATAAATAAGTATTATGCTATGAAGAAAGTGATCAACATAAAGAAAACAAAAAACAAAACAAACAAACAAACAAAAAACAGGGTAAGAAGCAGTTTTTCATGGTGTAGTCAAGAGAGACTTCATTGAGAAGGTGACATTTGAGCAAAAGCTAAAACAAGGTAAGGGGGTTATTTTGGAGGTGCACAGGTCCTGTGGGATCTTTTACATTTGAAAAACTTAAAAAGGCTATAAACTGAACTTCAAGGAAGCCCATTGTT